GGGGGGAGGTATGGGAGTGGGGGTGGGGGTGGGATGTGACTGTCTCATCAAGTGGAGTGTTTCTTCCGACTGCGTGTGTGTGTCCTGCTCCTGGTCACGTACGCTGTGGTCACTTGAGTGTTCATTATAATCATCACTTGAGAATAGAAGGCTGGCTGGGGCCTGGTGGAGCTTTTAGTACCCCAGGAGACTTCCTCTGGGCCAGGTACTGCAACCGCGCCCCTTCTTTGCCTGTCCCCCCCCCTTCACACTGCACACTGCACACTGTAGTCGCGACGCAGCGAACCCCCACCGCAACCCGCACCCAAAACCCCCCACCGGCGCCGCAGGTCTTCGCCCCGGTGCTGTACCGCTCCGTCTGCTCCACCAGCCGCAAGGCCTTCCGCCCCGGCGGCGCCGGCGACCCGTCCGGCAACCCCCTGCTGAGCGGCATGCGCGCGCGCGCTGCGCTGTACCTGCCGCTGGCCCGGTCGCTGGACAGGCACCTGGCCGCGCGGGGCTGGGGCGCGCAGCTGCCGCTGCTGGCGGCGCTCGAGGGGCTCGGCGGCGACGGCGACGAGGACGGCGGCGTGGACGTCGCGGCGGAGGCGGCCGTGCCAGCTTGACCCGTAGTGCTGGCCACGTGGCCGCGGGCTGTGACGAAAGCTTGGCACCCGTCACACAACAGCTCGGCAGATTACACAGGGCTTTCGGCGCCTCTTGCTATGATTTGTTTGTGTACTAAGACACACATGCAGCACCCTCCCCGCATTGAGCCGGGCCGTCGCAGCAGAGGTCATGGCAGACATCATACGACCTGCCCAAGCTTTGTATCAGCCGACACGCTTGCCAGCATTTCCTGCACGTGCCCCTGGTCGCCGTGCTGCAGCAGTCGGCAACATTGTGAACGCTAGGCAAGTCAATCCACATTTGTGACCATTTTGCCTTGTTGCCCTTGGCGGCCCCTGTTTCCCGCCCTCATTCCCAGGGCGCGTCCCCGCGCGCCCCACACCCCCAGCTGCTGCCGTCGCCCGCAGCGGCCACTGCCGTGGCGCAGCCTCGCTGGCAGCTCGCCTTCCCGCGGCACCCCTCGCACCACCACCCTCGTGGTGGCCTCATTCGAGCACGTTCAGCTTGCAGTTTGCCTTTGCTGCGCCTGCCCCGTGGCCGCAACCAGTGCTTTCCAAGGCGTGGTCAGTGCATTCAACCGCAGCATGCTGGCAGTCATGCATGCTTCGCCCATAATTCTGCGTTCCTGCAAGGCTTCGAAATCCGGCCGCCCCAGTTCCTGCATCAAAGCCGCCAGCTTCACGCCACTCTGCACCCCCTTTCATCAACCTCTTGGCTTGGCGGCCCCAGGTCGCACGTGTATCACCGCTGCAATGGTTGCACAGGGAAAACCATCTCATTGTGTCCGATGCCCAGTGTGTCCGTGTCTCGTGTAAGCAGGGTCTCAGGATGCGCCACCGCCCGCCCTGCCGCCGCCGCCTATCTGTGTGTCTCCGTAACCGGGCGCTCTGGCAAACTCCTGCGACACAACGGGCGGCAGAGGGGTGCAGGGCCGCGGGGGTGGGTGCGGCGGCATCTGTCACATACACACACCATGCAGGCGGGCACGACAGTCAGCGTCTTGATAGCTGTGACAGCGCCTGCAGCGCAGCCGTGCTCGATTGTCCCTTGCCCCACCCTGCCTGCCCAGGCCAGGCGGCAGCTGCGCAGTAGCTGCTTGGCGCCCCAGCCTCGCCGTTGCGAAATCCCTGCAAGCTGCACCCTCATCAACGTACGGCGGCAGAGCTTTGGGGCTGAGAAACAGGGGACAGAGCTCTCCAAGCGACTGCAAGGGCGGGTCCTCACCTCCTCCGTCCACCGCTGAATGGCCGCCGTCCCGAGCTCGCTGACCGCCCGCTCCCCCCACTGCAGCAGCGTCTTCACGCCTGCCGTGTCGTGCTGCTGGCTGCGGATGATGAACCTGCAAGTCGCGAGAGCAGGCGCAGACCGAGGTCTAACAGGCAGAAGCATCATACGCAAGCCCAATGGCCGCCTCTCGTGCGCTCCTATGCCTGTCCCTCAGTCTACCCCTGCCCCTGCCCCCCCAACTGGCGTGCTCAACAAACCTATGTCACGCGGCACAACACCTCGCACCAATCTATCCACACCTCCTTGAACTCCCCCCTCGCCTGCTCTGTGCCGCCTGCCTTCTCCCCTTCCCTGACCAAACACTCCCCACACCCAACCCCCTGCCTGGCCTCAGCCCGCACCGCGTCTTCTCCAACTCCTTGAGCATGTCCTCGCTCTTTCCGAACTGCGGGTGCTCCACGTCCCCCGCCGCCACGCCCAGCTGCTTCAAGTGCCGCCACAGCTCCTCTGACAGAGGTAAGCGGCGTGGTGGTCGTAAGGGGGCGATTTGAGGGGGAAGGATGCGGCGGGAACGAGTGGTGGTGACAAGCAAGAGGCGTGGTGGTGGTCGTCGCCCGGAGCCCCCTCGCGTCCGCCACCGCTCCGAGCGACGAGCAGAGCGCAGATGCCTGGTGTCAAGTGCATGTGGGCGGCCTGCAGCTCGTCAAACAGCCACTGGCCTCGTGGGTGCATGGCAAGTGGAGAGGCTGAGCCGTGCGCACGCAGGCGGGGTCAGGCCGCACCCAGCTCCATGGTGCCGCCGTTGGAGTGGATGAGGGACAGCACCACCATCATGAAGCCCACGGGCTGAGGAAATTGTGGTGGGGGGGGACAGGGAACCAAGGCGGTGCAGCGGGTCGGGGGCACACAAGCACCTCACAGCCCGCTTGGGGCCGCTCGTGCAGCCGTGCACAAAGCGCTGGCCAGCTTTTGTGGCGGCGCACCGTCCTCAAGCAGAGGCGCCCGCTGTTCGCAAGCGAGCGCCGCGTGCCGCATCTGCCCCCGCAGCGGCGCTGCAAATGCTTGCAACCAGCGTTCCCCGTTGGAAGCCGGAGCCCCAGCTCAAGATTGCGCCCTGCGCCCTGCGCCCTGCCGGCGGCCGCCGCCCCCGCACCTGGTCGTCTGCCCGGTTGTCCACCAGCTGCCGCCGCATCTCAAGCGGCAGGACGCTGCGCAGGATGTAGGTCTGGGTGCTGCTGGGGCCGTCGTCTGGGTTTTGGGGGGTAAGGGGCGCGTGTAAGTGCACATGTGCTGCATGCATGCATGGTTGCATGCGTGCCTGGTCAAGGGGGGAACAGACTATGGCCAGCCAAGGGGTGCTGCAAAGCCAACAGACAGAAAGCAGCAGTCGCTTACCTGGACATTTATGCATACCGCGGCGCACACGGCGTGGCTTAGCACGGCGCTGCAAAACAGCAAGCGGCCGTCTCCCCCCCCCCCGGCCAAACTTACTCACCCTGCGCCAGGCCCCTCTTTCTGGTGGCGGCCGCCCCGCGCGCTATCTCCTGCATCTCAATGCCCAGGATCGAGATGATGCGGCCCTGGGCCACGCGGATGACCAGAGAGGGCAGCTTCTTGGAGGCCTTGTGCTTCTTGTAGTCACCCTGGTTAAGAGCACGGGTGACGATGCAAGGGGGGCGGGGGTTGGCTGTGGTGAGCGGGGCAGATTGATGAAACCCAGAAGGTGCTCACCACAGAGGTCTAACATGCACATACTCTCCTGCTGTTTAAAGCCATTGCGCGCGAGACCCCAAAGATGGCGCACTGCTCAAACGTTGCACCTAGCTGCCCTCTCAGCCCCACTGCGCTGAGGCGCAGTCCAAACAGCCCTGCCTCCCATGTCCAGCCTGTCCCAGCTCAACCCAGCAAAATATCTCCTGGATGGGGCATCTCCTGACGAATCAAGGGCCATTCACCTACCACTACAAACACATGCACACACACTCGCACGCACGCACACGCGCCCACATATCCAACTGCATGCCACCAACCCCTGGACAACCTGCGCGGCCGAGCCCCAGCTACTAGCACCCCCCGGAAAGAAATCAATCCCTCTGTCGCGGCTCACGAAGCATGCCTCCAGCAGCTCCTGCCTCTTGACGGGCACGTCCGGCTTCTCGTGCTGCTTGAACAGCATCAGCCGCACCACGCGCGACACCAGGGCCTCATACTCCTGGGG